CCATGCCACAAGCTATCTGTATTTTCTTCAGATATTCCAAAAATCTTTTAGACTTAGCATTTTTTCTTCTCCCCACACCATAATTATAAAAGATGACTTGGGCTTTTTCAATACACCAATTTTGTTTAAGCAAATTGGGTTGCTAGAAACTATATCCAGAAATTTAATCAAGAGGACAAAGTAAAATATACGTTCAGATTTCTAGAATCCTTTGGTTTTCTGCACACATAGCTGAAATAAAACACATTGTCTTATTAGAAGGCCCTTACTGAAAGAAGAATCAGTAAACTCTTGTAAGAAAAAATAACCAGGGCAAATGACACCTGCCCTCCCCCACCTGCTCCTGCAAGTGAGTGAGTGCATCTTGTTAAATGTGTGGTCTGCCTGTTGTATTCTTGAGTCATTGCTTTAACCAGGCTGCTTCCTTGAATGTGGCGGTGAGGTGGGAGAATGTGGTTCTTCCTTGAGAAATGGGTTCCAGAGAGCTCAAAGACGAGCAGAGTTCACCTGGGTTAGGTGAGGTCCAGGTCATGCTGTGCCAACCTTTGGGAACATGTAGCAGTGGTAAAATGCGACCCTTTGAGTAGACATGGGCAGTGTGAGGCAGGCCCTGGGTGGACCTGGATGGAAACTCAGACTACAGAGCAAGGCACGTGATGGGGTCTCAGGCTGTGCCTGGAGGAGCAGACTGACCTGGCCCTTCAGTTTAAGGACCAAGAAACTGCACTTCCGATGCACATTTGTGCTCATTCTCATCTGTGCCTCAAGTATTTTCTTTCTATCTGTCTAAGTTTCTTGGTGGCTCCTTTTTTTTTTTTTTTGAGATGGATTCTCACTCTTTCACTAGGTTGGAGTGCAGTGGCGTGATCTCGGCTCACTGCAACCTCCGCCTCCCAGGTTCAGACAATTCTTCTGCCTTAGCCCCTCTGGTAGCTGGAATTACAGGTTCCTGCCACTATGCCTGGCTAATTTTTGTATTTTTTGTAAGGACAGGGTTTCACCAAGTTGGCCAGGATGGTCTTGATCTCTTGACCTCATGATCTGCCTGCCTTGGTCTCCCAAAGTGCTGGGATTATAGCCATGAGCCTCTGTGCCCTGCCAGCTCTTTTTAAATAAAACCGGTCTTCTTAACTTTGCTAATAGAGTGGACTGCTACACTAAAGAGGAATGCATGTTTCTTGGGGTAAGAGAACCCTAAAGATGTTTTGGTGAAACCCAAGTGTCACAGCTGTGCTGATATTTCCTTAAAATCTCCCCACTTGTAGATTCTTAATCTATCAACAGACTCTGATGAAAGAAACCTGTTTGGGAGGAAACACAGCATCACCTGTACCCATAATCATGTCTTCCCAATACTTTGAGGTAGGTAAGCAATAAAGCAGTATGAGGCAAGCTTAGTGACATACCAAGCTTCACATCTTTGTACCAATGTTTAGCATTGGGAACATGACTGATGGGACTGATCAGATGATCTGTTCATTTCTTCAGTTCTTAAATGCCATGGATCTAAAAGAATGAAAACAGGGTATAAAGAGGACACTCGAGGAGGATGATCATCACGTGTCTCCCGGCTCTTTGGTAGGAAAATCCAGTTAAGATGTAAATGTCAAGAGACCGCAGTTTTGGGATTGAGGTTTTTCTACAATTTTAATGCAATCTTATCACATCTTAAAGACCACAGATGCCCAGCTTTCCTTTGAAGGTCACTCATGGCCCACAGTCATGTCCTGACTTCTTCCAGGTGATGCTCTTTCCAGCCCCCCTCCCTGTTCCTCGGTCTGAGATGGCAGCTTAGGGATGTGGCTGAAATTCAGGCACTAGGGAGGGAAGTAAAGACAAGACAAAATTGGTCAATTAGTTCAGAAACGAAAATTATCTTTCGTAGTTCCAAACAGAAATTGAGGTGAATCAGGAAATGGATGGCGTTTTTCAAGTCACATGAATCAGCGCCCCAGAATTCATCATTTTCACCAAGTGTTCTGCTGGTTTCCTAATTCTCTCACATTGGGTGCATGGCTCAGGTAAAACATTTTAGGGAGAGCTAGATTTTACTTTGAAAAGAAGAGAATTAAACATTTTTTTTGGTTTCATAATGTGATGAGATGCCCTTTAATGCAGGTAACTCTAGCAAGCAAGACCTTTACAAAGAAATAAAAAGAAATTTTGCTTAGAAAAAGGAAATACTTGTGGATCCTTCAAAATGACTTTATTTATGGACAGCCTGCTTATATGCTGGGTGCTTGATGAGTATTTTACACAGATGATCATCTTTCTCCTGTCAGGTGGACAACCAACTTCACCTGCCAGGTTGTGTGTCTAAGTTCCAGGTGAAGAGACTCTAGCTCAGAAAAGTTCAAGAACTTTCCCCAGGTTAAAACTCGAAATGACATCCTCAATTTAGATCCATTTCACTTTAAAATAAGGATACGCTCTAAGTTATAATTTGGTTTATTTTCCTGCTCATTAGCAATTAGTTTGTAATTCAGTATCACTAAAATATACATCCTCTAACAATGTATTGTTGCAGCCTGTAAACAGCAAAACTGAATTTAACTCCCCGGCTACATACACACAAAATTACAGTGTATCCAGTTAAATGTTATGCCATCAGACCTACTGGGTTATGGTTAGAAAGCTGTCTTCTTCCCACCGCTTAGCTCTATATGCCAAGAATTTTTTTGCCTTTTTTTTTTCTTTTAAGTATGAACTGCAATGTTCAGATGTAACAATAGGGTTAGCTGAATACATCATACATTGGGTTCTAATTTCTGTCTCCCTCATTCTGGCCACACAGGCTCCACAGGTCCATACAAAGGCTGCAGAATCCAAGTATAAGGCAGCTTCCTCCCTACATCTTCCCCTCTAGAAGCAGCCCGGCAAGACCTTGGCCTGCCTCTTCCTTGCAGGGAGGCTCCCAGGCCCCTGTGCCACGTAGGCAAGAGAGTCGGAATGTCTGGAATGGAACTAGTGCCTTAAGTGCCAAGCAACGGAAGGGAGAACGGTTAAGGTTCTGGTTCAGGTCCCCAGGAGCCTGCAGCTGCCACACAGCAGGCCAGCAGCTCCCACCACAACACAGGGAGGAATGCTTGCCAAGGAGGCCTGCGCAGCTACTGACACTTCCTCCCAGAGGTCTTGAGATCCCCGGAAGGCCTGAGTACCCAAGACAGCCAGGTCACCTGTGCCAGAGACTGGGCATTTGGAGCTGGGCTGGGCTTCCATAGAAACCATAGGAATTGCTTTCACTTAATTCTTTCATTAAAAAAAAAAAAAAAGAAAATAAAGACATCGACGGCAATTTTTATTTCCATCACCCTGTCCTGTTAGGTCTACATGGCTACTGTGACAGCTGTGACACCCTGCAGCCACCACCAGTAGCTTCTTTGTTTTATGGATGAGCTCAGTGGAAGCCTTATGGACGCGGTGGACCGCTTCCAGTACCAGCGAGGCCCATCCATAACCCACCACTGGCTGGAAGGGCGCTGGTGTGAACGTGGGTCCTTGAGGGGTCCCTACCTCACTGCGCTTAGGAGGGGGCATCCCTGCGTTTCCTTGTGGAAGGGACCTTGAAGCCTCCCTCTGAGGCGCAGATGGAGATACTGTCCCGCAGCCTCATTCAGTGGAAAAGGGCCGCTCAAGGCTCTGAACCCAAGTTTTATGCCTTATACTCCTATAACCTTACCATTTGCTCTTTTCGCGAGGCTGACCCTCCCCTCTTCCTCCCCGCTCAACTACCTTCTTGTGAAGCTGAAGAACTGCACCAAAGTATCCAATTATACAAGGTCTTCAAAGGTACTTTACTTGCTTCCCAATTACAAACTTTTCATCTGAGTACTCAGTAAGGCCCAAAGATTCTGCAAAAGTGCAACAAGGAATATTTGTCCCAGAATTGGACGAATGACTGACCATACGGGACTTCTCTCTTAACGCTCGGAGTGGCTACCTGGTGACCCCTTCACCTGCCTCCCTGGTTCGTCAGATTTGTTCATTTCCTGGACTTAATTCCACTTAAATCGACCCCAACTAGCCAGAGGCTCAGCTCCAAACCGCTCCTCGGGGAACCCGCAGCGACTCTCTCCTCTTCTGTAAGGAGTTTCCCTCTCAGAACGGATGAGGGTGTCACAGAGAAAGAACAAAATCACAAAGTTCGAGTTCCGAAGGACCAGACGGCCCCTGTTCCCCACCCCCGAGGCCAGATTCGGGCAGGGGAGCACACGTACCTGGAGCAGAGGCCAGCAGAGCTGGCGCGCCACGTCTCAAGTCTCGGCCGTCGCTCCCTCCTGGGTGCAGCCACGTCTGAGTCGGGACCCAGGGCGGGGGCCGCAGCAGGGCCCTGTGAGAGACAGGGCAGGGAGCCCCCAAAAGTCAGCGCACCGCCACACTCGTACTGGGGAGACGGGAATGGAACTCCTGGGGTGCAGCGGGGCGTCCGGGAGCAAGGGGGGGTCCCGTCCCGGGAAGGGGCGGGACTCGGGGAGGTCAGGCGCGGGTGGGGCGCTCGAGTTTCACGCGGGCAGGGAGGAGACGGAGGAGGAGGAGGAGGAGGAGGAGGAGGTGCAGCAGCGGGGGCGGGGCGGGGGCGGGCCCAGGCGGCCCAGCGCTCCCCGCCCCGCGCTCTCAGCTCCCGCTCGCCCCGCGCGGATCTACTCGCCGGGAAGGCGGCGCTGGTGGCTGCTGTTCTTGCTGCGCCCGCGCCGGCTCCCGCGCGCTGCTTTCCCGCCGCGGGTGGGCTCCGCAACCCCAGGCTGGCCGCGGCCCTCCACCTTCCCTTTGCCGGGGCGGCCCAGACAGTGTGGCTCATCCCGGGGCGCTCCCCTTTCCCACCCGCGACTGCCACGCGGAGCTGGCGCGGACACCCAACTTTGCCACCTCGCGGGTCGTCTCTGCTGTGAGCGAACCTACCCACCCACCAGTTGGCCGCGCGCTCGGGGACTCTGTTCCTGGCCCTCAAGCCGGTGCCCCCGTTCTAGAGCGCAGCGAGTTGGGGGCGGCTCTGAGGAAGCGGTAGGGGTGGCTGCAGCTGCTGCCTCCACCTCCCCAGCCAGGTGCTGAAGAGGATCCTCGGAGCAGCTCTGGCCCCAGGCGCTGGATGACTGGCACGAGGAGCGCGTCCCGCACCTGGTGAGCGACTCCCGCCCAATCCCTGCGTGGCCTTGGCCGGAGCCCCTGACCGCGCCGCGCCGCGCCGCTGGCCGGGACTCGGGGACTGCACGTCGGCTGGTGGGTGGTGTAGATGTCGGGTGGGATCCATCAGCAGGCACCTGGGCGGGCGTTGCGTGCATAGGATTAGGACCACCGTCAGTCCCGAGCGCCCACAGTTGAGGCAGTGCACAGGTTGCAAGTTTGTGTACCCGCCTGTGCCGAGGTCTGAGCGTGCAGACGTAAGAAGCCGGAGTATCTCGGTGGGTGAGACGGGACCCCTGCCCAACACCCCAAAAGGTGCGCGGTGGTCTGTGCGCGTACCCGGCGCGCCTCCGGGCTCGGACTACCGGGGTCCGGGGACCAGGGACTCGGAAGTCTGGACTTGGCTCTCCGGGAGCCGCCACCTCGCAGCCCCGCCGGCCTGGGCAGCTTTTCTTGCTTTCCTTTCAGGGGAACCTGGAGGCAGGGGGACTTGGGCTTAACTCTGCCAAGCACCTTGGTTAATGAAAGACACCAAGGCGGGAATGCAGAAGTCTGGGGAACCGCCAGCCAGGTGGGCTGCAGCCAGGCGAGCCCCTTTCCCCAGGCATCCCTCCGCTGCTCCGCGGATTTTGCATACCCTGGCTCAAGGTTTCGGGACCGGAGGCAGATCGGGCCCCAGAGGAAACTGTTTCTCCAAAGATGTGCGTGGGAACAGTCGTGGAGGAGCGATTCCGGGCTCGCTCCCCGCGGCGCCGGGTGCCTGGCTTGGCGCGGTCACATCCCGGTTCCCCGGGCTTTGGCGGGAAGCGCGTTCACCTCCTCGCCCTTTCCTTGCTTTGTACCTGGATGCGGCGGCTGGAGTTGGGATTTAACTTTACTGTGCCTGCGGCGTCCTCGTGATCCCCGGCAGGGGGCGCTGCGAGCGAGCGCTCCGAGGATGAGGAGCCACAGGCAGTTGCTGGGTCCTAGGCGAGTGGGTGGGGAGGTCCCAGGCAACAAACGGCAGAGCCAGGCAGATCTCGCAATAATTTCATTGTGGGGGCTGGAGGTGGGTGGGGGTGGAGCTGATCTGGTGGCTATAGGGAGCTGTCAGGCTTGCTAGAAGAGGGGACAGGAAAGGTGGTGGCCAGACATAAGTGCTCTAACTAGAAAGGTGTCTTCCAGAGAAAAAGATCCCTGTAAACTCTTCCTGCCTGGGCATCTGTCTTCTTCCCCGTGACTTACCCAGAAAGAAATCGAAATTGAGGGACGATAACGTGAGTTTTGTTTAATACTGTTCTGCTTTTTAGGGGTACTTCAGTTAACACACCAGGAGTCACAAATGATTGTTCTTGTTTATTGTGAAGAAAGATGATTTTATCTCTCGCTTACCCAGAAGACCTCTGTCATAATGGCTGAGTTTGGAACCAGCAGACACGTTATTAATTACAGGCTTTTCATAAGGAGACAGAAACGCAGAACCAGACTTTAGTAAGAAAGGGGTTTCAACACCTAATTAGGATTGTTGAATGAGTTGCTAATTAATGCCAGTTTCATTATTTTAGAGAATGTAAATCTTATCATGACCACTTTACAATTTCGGTTAAAGCAGATAATACCATTTAGTTACGTATAACTGAAATAAGTTTCTTGTCTGTGCATGTATTTGCACCAAAAGAAACATGGCTTTTTTTTCCCCTCCAAAAGATTTCTTTTCCTATGTTTGTTTTTCCTTAGAAAGCAGCCCTAAGTGTAATTGTTTGGTTCACTTGAAACACAGATTTTTTTTCCCCTTGAGTTTCTTTCTTGTAAAAACTTTGGAGATAGAAGCTTGCTCATCCCCGTTGCTCCATGTAGTCACACTAAGAATTTGGATACTCTGAACCGTGGGGCTGAGAAACTGACATCTATTTTTATGTGCTTTTAGCCAATATATACTTTTATTAACAGGGAGAAGACAGATGATGCTAATCATTTTATGTCTCCTGTGAATTGCAGTAACTTATTTGGTTGTTTTCATGTCAAACAGCTGCAAGATCCCTGCTGAGAGCAAAGGCTTTGGTCTCCTGGGTGGTAAAGCTTGTCTGTCCAAAATAAATTTTTGAGATGTTCACAATTTGGTAAAAATAAACCTGTGTTTTTCACTGCTGTTTCCCTATAAAATGATTTCATCACATGTCTGGGGAGAATGAAACATAGAAACTTATAGCACAGAGGCTATTAAAACTTATTGAACATGAGACCAAAATAAATACACATTTATACAAACGTCTGCATAAAGTTTAGGGAGCCATGGGACTTCCGAAGCCATGGGACTTCCAAGTCCATGGATTTGCAGTAAAAAATTTAGCTCCAGAGTCATGTTAGCCTCCTGGTGAAGGACATATGTTAAAGGCAACAAGCCTTTCGCTGTGCTGTGTGCTAGTGGCCCGGAATAAGAGATGCCAGCTCTTTGTAGTCGATGTCAAATGCTCCCGATGTTAGAGAGAACTGCCTATCTAAATCTTGACAGTTTGATTTCACTTGCTGATTACTATAACAGTTTCAAATGATTTTTTTTTTTTTTGGTTATGAAGTCATTGAAATTGAGTCTTTGCTTTTCATATAGGATGATGTGGGGGAGGAGCAGAAAACCTTCACTAAATGTCCAGCCAAAGGTATAAAGGCATTCCATAATGTAGACAAGTGATCATGAACCCTATAGTTAACTAACATCAGAAACTTACCCCAAGGAAAAGGTTTGAGTTAGCAGATGGTGTGCAAGATAGAACAAATTAGTTTATAATACATCCCAGTCAAGGAATCCATTTTTGTAGTAGTATATGTACCATTACTTGAGTGAAGCAGCCCTACATCCTGCAATAAATTCTCCATAATTCTTTATTCTAAAATTATACCAATTTTGTATTTAAAAATGTTTCTGCGATTGTTGCTATAGTTACCCAGACAAATTGCTTTGGGTATAATTATACCAAGGTGACAAGTTTTTAATGTGTTAAATAATGTTTAAAATGTAAATTATGGTGCCTGACACATTGAGTTATAACTAAGTGCAAAGTGTCTAAAGTGAAACCTTGTCCATTTCTGCTCACCTGCATCTATTTGCAAATTTGTATCCAGAAAGTTAACTGTTTTCCTGAATCCTAAAATGAGCTCTCTAAGTACTTTTAGTTATCTTGAGTGCAGTTGACAACACAGACAATTTCACGTATGTCTCAGAAACCTTTTTAAATTGAGATGCAGAAGTTTGGTTGAAAATGAGATTTTTATCACACTACTGCCCTGCAGAAATGATCTGCTGTAGATAGGGGGCGATCTTCTGTTTCTGATTCCTGTACAGATTGGGAGCAATCTGGGGATAAATTCAGCAGGTGAGATGTGGCTCCTGGGAAGCACTTTGGAGAAAGAGATGTGGGTGTGCTTGGTATATCTGTAGCGTACTGTTCAGAAGAATTTTTTAGGAATTGGTTATCCGAATATACAAAATCAATTTCTGATAGAGAGAAAAGAGGAAAAAGCAAAATTAAGCTAGAATAGACAAAGATAAACTTCTCAATATCAACGAGCCTACTCAAAACTCGCTTTGATTCAGCATTGAAGTCAAATAGAAGAAAACACATGAAAACTTGATCCAAGAAAAGGTATTGAATAATAGGAATTTATTTCAGCATATTAGGATTGGTGCAATCTTTGCCAACTGAAAGATTGTGTGGCTGAGGAAACCTGGCTGTCTGTTTCACAGAGAATTTTGAAGCCAGGCAACTTCAAAGACAAGTCATATTTACCTTGTGCATGACATTTGCAATAGGAGTAACACAACAGTGGGCTCAAGAAGACCAAATTTTCCCAGAGGTATTGCCGTTGTCATCTTCTTTCTTCTCCTCCTCGTTTTGTCCAAGATTAATGGTTGTTTGACGTGAGCAAAGCAAACACACTTCATTTCCCTTCCCTACGTTTTAAAATGTATTAACATAGTATTGTTGCATTTCAAAGAAGCAAAATCATTCTGTTTCTAAACTCTTTTTTTCCTGATTGGTTTCCTAGAATTGGTTTCCGGATTAACACTTGGGGGGAAAAATATTTTAAAAGAGAATAATTTTTTTAGAGGCTGAATTTCTTTTATTATCAAAAAAAGGTCATGAACCCACTAATCTTTTATCTTCCCATCTTTCCCCCATTATTTGTCACTGTATTTCTGTAGAATTGGCTAACCTAGGGTTCATGTAGAATAATGAGGAAGTACATACTGGAAAAATGTTATTTTATATTGCATTTTTATGTACAATTGAGAGTAAATCACACTACTGTAATAGGTAATTCAATTACAGATATGTATGATAAATAACCAGTAGAGTGATTCTATCAGAAGCCAACTCTATTGGAGAAATAATAATGTATTTGCTGAGATGTGAAATTAAATAACTTATAGGCGAGTGACAATCAGGATTGCACAAGGACAAACAGTTCACAGAAAACAGAGCCTCTTTCAATCAGTTCAAATCCAATGTTTGGCAACAATGTATGATGTACCCATGGAAGGAAAAGCAGAATCAAGGAAAGCAACTGAGAAAAAATTTGCTAAGCAGCTTCCTGTGATCTGTCTGCAAAATCATAAACCCGAAACTTCTCTTCTTTTGAATCACAGGAGAGATAGTGTTCCTCACAAACTGACTTCAAATAAAATTCCACACAAAGAGATTTTCTTTCTGTAAAAACAAAACAGAACTGGACATGTGACACATGTTGGAGAAGGCTCCCAAAGCTGTTCAGAGCCAGGTACCGAGGGAGCTGACTCCTCTCAGCGCCACCAAACCTGCTGGGGAAAAAGAAGGTGTCAGAGACCGGCGACATTTATGGTTGGGCATCATGTAAACAAACGGATTTGAGAGTCACAGCTGGCTTCTGTGAGTCCTTTTACAGGATTGAGGTTTAGGTTTGTTGCAAAACTACTTCATTTCTTTTTTTTTTTTTGAGACAGAGTCTCGCTCTGTCACCCAGGCTGGGGTGCAGTGGTGCAATCTTGGCTCACTGCAACCTCTGCCCCCTGGGTTTAAGCGCTTCTTGTACCTCACCCTCCCGAGTAGCTGGGATTTACAGGTATGTGCCACCACACCTGGCTAATTTTTTATATTTTTGGTAGAAATGGGGTTTCACCATGTTGGCTAGACTGGTCTCGAACGCCTCACCTCAAGTGATCTGCCTGCGTTGGCCTCCCAAAGTGCTGAGATTACAGGTTTAGTAATTTCAGCCACTGTGCACGGCCTGATTTTCAAGTTGAGAACACTATTTGTAAATGGCAGCATAAAGCAAAAATAATTGCTCAGTATGCAAAACTTTTTTGTGTAGCAGATATTATAATGAAGCCATTGTTCATGTGGGTTGACGTATGAGTATAAACTGTCATATGAATTCCTACACCATGGACTTGACTTTAGAAGGAAGTTAGTATTGTAGGAGAGCTGGGTAGAGTGATGAGCAGAAGCCCATGGTTTAATAGAGATGCCTGCCTGACTGGGCAGGGCCGTGGGAGAAGCCTCCTCCTTGAATTGGGTACTCGCTGGCCATGGGCGATCCTTAGGGGATGACTTGCCTGCTAGCAGTGGTGAACGGATTCATGGCCAGAGAATGGGTGGTGTGGGTGGGAGTGGTTGACAGCTGTGTCAGTTTCCCTTTGCGGGATTGGAATTGGGTAAAAGCTCTGTGAGGACCCTGCACAGAGTGGATGGACCATCCAGATGGACTTGCAGATGGCCAAGGGCCAGCGTGGGTCAGAATCCCACATCCGTGTCAGCTCCATGGCTGCTTACTGAGCCCAGTCTTCAGGATGAGGAAAAGTGGAGGTGAAGACAGTAAGGAGGGAGGGCTTCTCTTCAAGAATGGCCAGCTATGTGCTCGTTTACCAAGGAAGAGAGTCAGAATGATAATACAAAACACACTGCCTGAACAAGGGTCTGGAGAGCCACCCGAGGGAAGAAGACAGGCGTCTGGGATGTGGATGCCGTGACAGAACCATGTCTGCTCAGGTCGGCAGGTTGGCTCACTGGTGTGGCTCACTGGTGTGGCTCGCCTTCAGCTGGATCTGTGTACCTGAGACCTGCTGTGGGGGTGGCGTCTTCAGTTGCAGGAAGGATGTGTACCTGAGGCCGGGAACTGGGGAGAGTCCCGTGTGATCCTGGCTCTGTGACCAGCCTTCACTGCTACCGCGGTCCCTCCTCTCTGCCTCCAGCGCCCGCCCCCAACCTTGCTTCCAGCCGCCTGGTCTTTGCGTGTCCTGTCC